CGGGTGTTTTATTGCCCCTCGCTGCACGGAGGGAGGGCACGGACCGGGGCTTTTTCCACGGGAACAGCCACTGCGAGAGCAGCCCCATATCCCAGCACATGCAACAGAATATAGCATAACAATAGTATAATATCGTATAACAACAATATCGTATAACATGATATAAGCCCAATATCCAAAGCTCAGCAGGGTGGCCACTCACCCTCATGTCCTCAGCAGTAACACGGTGGTTCTGCGCAGGGGTTTTTCGGGGCTCCCCGCGTGCGCCCGCAGCGCAGCCCAGGGCGGCTGGAGCAGGGAGCCGACACCTCATCTTTTTAGTCCTGAACGTCCTCATGCCGGCAAAATCAGGATGCACGATTTCATCACCAGATTAGACTAGTGGGACTTGCGCACATGGTGGATTTTATTCCTGTGGTACAGAAAACTCCCAAAGTGACTTACTTGATTAAAATATCTAAATTTAAAGCATTTCAGAGTGGAAGAGAAAGGAATTAAAAGTTATTTTTATTACTGCTCTATTTTAGCTACTATTATATATACTATAAAAGTCACTAGTAATGACTTTTTAATAATTTTTTTCATTATATACCATTTGACACACCACCACACCTTCCATCTTATGAGTTAAAAAAGGAGGAAAGAATAACAGTCTGTGTAAACCCAGAATTAAGGTCCATGTAATTAATCTTCTCTTACACCTAAGTTTGCATGTTAAATTGCGCATTCTATTTCAATAATGAAATTATGTAAGTAATGAAACATATGTTTCAAGTTAGCACTGTTTTTAAGTATTTCAGCTGTGTTTTTAAGTATAAGACAGTCTGTGCTTCTTTACTGTTATACAAAGAATAAATGAAATATAGTTAAAAATTATGCACTATTTTTCCTATTATTCTCAGGCCTACATTTACATGTGGAGGAGTTGTATCTGGAGAGTCAGGGTTTATTGGGAGCGAAGGATTTCCTGGAGTCTACCCTCCAAACAGCAAATGTACTTGGAAAATCACAGTAAGAATTTTTCATATCACAAAATCAGTGCTGAAGACAATGAAGAGCTATTTGTTGTTAATGCCAGTGTTTTCTATGGGATAACATATGTGCAATAATGAACTTAGTAAACTTGGAGCAGCTCAACTATCTGGAGCTCTTTAGGGTTGCTGTAATACAATAGTAGTGGCTGAAATAGAGCTGACCTTGCCTAATGTCAGAAGCAAATTTTCATTGACTTCCATAGATACACCTCTAATAGTTTTGAATTAACCCACTTCAAAGCAAACATTTACCCTTCCAAGTCACTGCAGAAAGCAACAGTTAGATAGATCAAATGTATTAAAGTAAAGCCTTGAGGTATAGATAATGAACAGCAAAATTCGTTGGCAAGAAGACATAGAAAAAGTTTCCAACAAAACTAAAAAATTCAGGCATGTTTGCTTGTAGTGTGCTAATAACAGCGTTCTGCCAGCCAGGATGTCTGGAGCATGGCATACAGCAAGCTGACCAAGCATAGGAAAGTGTTGTTACATTTATAAATGACCATGCGAAATCGTGTGGTACAATGGATATTTTGATGCTGAAATGAGACTGTAGGGCAGAGACATCGTATCGATGGACAGCAAATGACATTAAACAACTGGGACTAAACACTTCAGTGCTAGATGTGTCCCTATCCACTTTTCCTCACATCTACACAAATTAAGCCCTCCAAAATTGCCCACCAAATTTCCTCTCCATTTTTTAGTCACAGTTCACTAAGAACTGCTGTGACATCCAGGCCTAGAATATGGGCTTCACATAAAAAAAGATGGGTAAGAAAGCATAAAAAAAATAAATTAGTCTGTGCGTCAACGGGACCACTAAAGACAACTTCTGTTCAAAGCCTACATTACAGGCTAGGTGTTGGCAGTAGAATAGGATGTCACAGGATAATTGTCTCCTGCTACTACAGAGATGCTGACGCAAAGCAGGAGACACTGATCTGTTTAGAGTGTTCAGTTAAAGTGACTCTTGTACCAAACAAGTGGTGTAACTGTGATAATTTTATCTGGAGGATAGCAGTGAAGCTGCAACAGTTTCTTTCTTCACCTTTGTGTTGCATTATTATTAGAGCCAAGGTAGAGGTTACCTTTAATCTGTGACTGACTTTATCCAGAAGAGTATGATGTGAAATGCAGCGTATGCACATAAACAAACTTGCTTCCTCCTGCCTGAAGAGGCTGAGATTACAGCAATTAGCATGGCCCACTTGACAATCTGAAGAGCAGATGCAAATTCCATTTGGAATCATACACACACGCCTTAAATAAAAGAGGGAAAAGCCCCAAAGTTAGTTTATCAGAATAACTCAGTATTAGATCTTCAAAAATTCAAAATTGAATCTGGAGGGAAATAATTTTTAATATAACAGCATAAAGTTTTCACCATTAAAAAAATCAGATTACAAATAGAGGCAGCACTGAAGAAGCATTTACTGAAGCATCCCACGGATCTGACCATCATATACTGCGGGTAGAGGCAGAAGAGAACAACTGATTACAGAGTCCATACAAAGTGGTTTCATTGCAGACTTAAAGCTGTTGCCAACAAGATGTGAGTGTCCAGGTTAGCCTGGACATTGTGAGAAGCGTTACCACAAAGCTGTAGCAGAGCTGTGTCTGCGCTTGGGCTTTACTGACCATGGAAGGAGCTCTATGGCTACTTGCATTTCACGATCATCCTGACTCACACTTTTCTGCTGCGCTGCCATTGACTCCTGCTGTTCGGCTGCCGCATAGCTATTCTCTGTAGCTTGCCCAAGGCCTAAGAAGGGCTGCACAACTGTAGTAGTCCAGGCTTTCTTGTGCCCCCACCTCATTTAACCCCTGTTGGACAAATATTGTTCGCTAAGCCACATGGGCAAATGATTTTTTTTTTCCCCATCAACTGTGGGGAATACCCAGTCTTTTTGATGCACAGGAAGGAGGGAGGGAAAGCAAGGACTAAAAAACTTGCAAGACTAAGCCTGCACCCTCTTTAAAAAGAGGATGATTTACCAAACTGAGGGAAAGTGGTACACTCAAGGGTCTGGTGAGCCTGAATTTAAACAACAAAATCCCTTCACCAGATACTGCTGAGGTTCAGAATAGCTTGCAATAGCACCTAAGTAAGAAAGTCAGTTACACTGCCATGAAGAAATATGCTGTAGTTACTATGTTAGGGTTCCTCATTTAGCATCTGGTCTTAGAAGGTGACCAAGACTTTTTGCCTATCTGTTTTAGACAAGGGCTGTGAGCACCTTCCTGAGAACACTCTGCCTAATGCAGGATCTGACTCGTCTGCAAGACTGGAAGAGAGATTGATTCACTTTCCATCTGAGTCACAAGAAGCGTGAAGCTGTTGTTTTCTCAACTAGAGGATCTCATTGCCTATAGAAGAAATCTACAGTGAGGCAGAGTGACAGCTAATTCATTCTTTAAAAGAAAATAGGCTTAGAAAATGTTATGGGTAATACAGATAAAGCAATGTAGCATTCAGGTATCAGCTGAAATCTTTCCAACGGTTTGCTAAAGCTAGAAGAGTCTCTCTAACTTAATTATGGTTCTGTTATTTCAAGAGACTGGGACTTTTTCAGATGGCTAAAGAAAACAGCTTCTCTATTCTAAGAGCTCTAAGAAGTGTTCAGCACATGCTTGTGGTTATATTACAACCTTGGCAGACTACCCAGCAGCTTTTAGCTGGCTTTGCTAAGAAGTCATTTGTACAGCTATTTCCTTTCCTATAGTAATGTATATAGCTTTATCTAAAATATGTCATATACATTTACTTTTAATACTCTGTAATCCTTCTTGGCCATCACCTCACATAAATGTGTCACATAGTCTAAGAATCTGGACTGCTGTCCGGTGTTTTTCTGGCAGACTATGTAGTTCCCATAAAACTCTTAACAAATTTTTGTGCAACAGTAATACTGAAGACTGTTAGAGTTATGTAAGGTTATATTTTTAGAAGTTCAGGACCTGTGTTCCAGCAGGTTTGCTGACAATAAGTAAGGTTTTAAATATTTACTTATCAGGGGAGTTGGGAATCTGCCCTGGGCAAGTGAAATATTTTAAATAATTTTCTCTACATCTTAAGCATTCATTTTCCCATAACATCGTGAAACTGACCTTCCAGTAGAGAACAGATCTTTATGCACGGTTGTATGGACAGAAAAGAAAAAGCTGAACAGAATTTAATGCCTTTATCAGGGAGAGCAAGCTAATACAAATTTTTTAAAAAATTGTTCCTTTGTGGCTGGAGAGGATGGACCTAGGGAAGAAGCAACTAGGCAGGAACTGTGGTTCTCCCCAGGATGTAACTCTAAATAACTTTCAAATTCATTCTCATTAGAGGGAAATAACATGTTTGGCTTGCAGGTAGCTGATGAATTTTTCAAGTCTACCTAGAACCGTTATGGCAAAACATACAATCAGCATTTTGATATTAAACATAATACCAAAATACATTAAACCCATATACAATATAGGTGTAAAAATTAGGGCAAAACATTTTCTCAGAAAATTGGCATTTAAGGGTTCTTTCCCCACCAAAAGACTATTTTCAAAGCAAATAATCTAAAACAATTTGGAAAAGTATGACAGTTTCGAATCCTCCCCAGAAACTAGAAGAGACACAGGGATGAAGAGGGCTTTGTGTTCAGTCAAAACAACAGCAGCAAAACATTAAAGTTTAATTACTTTAAATGGAAGTGGACTTTGATTAACATTTATAGGAAATACCTACAATGAATGATTACAAAAAGAAAAATCAAGGGACCTTATTTTGTGGTGGGTTGTATATATAAAATAATCATGCCCTTTTGAAGACACTAATAATCTACACGGATGATTTCAGGGAATTATGCTGTAGAAGAACTCCCCCTAAAAATTCAGGGAGTGCTATTTCCCTTTAGCCTCCAATAGAGCTAAGGCATCCTTCACATGAGTTTAGCGTCATAATATCTGATCCTAAAGAAGTTCATAGAGTTAAAATAAGAAAGGAAGCAAAGGGCAAGTATGGGTCAGTCACCCTCAGTGTGACAAGGAGAGGCAGAAGCTTAAGTGCCTCTGTCGTTGAAAGATACCAGCTGAATGGATAAAACAGAAAAATAAGGCACACCCTGCAGGGGAAGCATCACATATTCTTCCTTTGAATCCTCCCTGGTTTTTTTCTGTTTTGTGTTTGGTTTTTTTTTTGTTTTTTTTTTTTCTTAAGAGCTGCAATTCCTTCCAATTCTTCCTCTGAGGTATCCCATCATCTTACTGCATCAGGCTCAGACGTGGCTTAAAGTAAACAAAACTGAGTCATGCTGGTCTTTGCTTTCTCCCCTGTGTTTCTCATGGAGCAATATTTTAAATGTCCTAGGATAAACATTGGCAGATTTTAACAGATCAGTTTTAAACATTAAAAAAAATGGTAGAAATGAAAGAAAAGTATTGTTTTGCAAAGATGCCTGTATTTAGGGTGGGATTCCTTGGGAGTAGCTGCAAACTGGAGCAGCTGCTGCAATAATGTGGAGCCACCATCCTCTGCACTCTTGAATGTCATCTGGTCAGACCACAAACTTTTAATTGATTTAAGATGCTGGAACAAATCTGTTATTTTTGTGAGCAATGACAAATACTATTTTAATAAGCAATGACATTATTTTATAAAGTAATGGCAGTAAGTAGTGCCACACAGTTCACGCATTTCTGTAAATGACTTATCTCCCCAAATTCAGCTAAATGTGAGCAAGGTTTATTCTGACAACTGAAGTCTGGAGCAGGCTCTTTGTTAAACATTCATGACTGTGTAGTTGAGTTTTTCCCTACCCATTTTCTTACAAATTGTCAAGAAGCAAAACTTAGAAACTCAGTACATCTATGGGGAACAGTCTTGACAAAGATCAAATAGACTGAACTAATAGAAGCTAGAGAGATTAAAAACTATAATGAAATAGATAATGTAATGTAGTATAGTATAACATAGTCAGTGGTGGAGAGAGAAGGAAGCATACAACGCTGCATAGAATTACTCATGTTATGAAATGGAAACCTCAAGACTTGAGTGAATGGTTGGCTGGCTATCTGGAGTTTGGTCGCTTTGCCAGTGCCCTCTCTCTCCTAAGTGTGGGCCAGTCCCACATCCTGGTCCCCCGTGCCCCACCTGGGGCAGCACAAGGGAGCAGAAAACCCTGGAGTATTACTGAGTGCTGTGAGGCTGGTGTGAGCAGAGCAGTGCTGGCTCAATGTGCTCATGGACAAAGCTGTCAGTGGGCAGCCATCAGCATTACTGAGGGATAACCACTTGGCTAAATCTGAATGCGTTTCTGCAAGGACAGCAAAAAGCCCTTTTCTTACCCCAGAATCCGCCACCTTTCACATTTCAACTTCCTTCTTCAAACTCTGGGAGGTATTAGGTGTCTTCAAAGAGGGGGTTCAAGCTGAGAAAGTAGGGAAAAATCTCATAAGCTATGAGCTGTATCACAAAACTACTTAATCTAATATGATAGAGCAACTTCTGCTCAACTTTCAGAAGCAGTGGAAGGAAAAGGGAAGGAAAATCCTTAAATTCTTAAAGATGGGTAAGTTGTAGCAAAGCTGCCAGACACTGTAAACAGTGTTTTGTATTGGAAAATGTTGGTCATTCTCAACTGTAGGCATAACAGCTCAGTTTGTATTAAAACATGATAACTTTTAAAGGTCACCTCATTTGGATCCTGTTGTACCAGTTGTACAAACTTACAAATAATGAGTGTTCCCACCCCAAAAGAGCATGTGTTTATTTTATATACATACTTCTGAAAAAAAGTCTGCTTTAATTAAACTGCCTAAATCTGATTTTATCTGACTAACTTCACAGCCAGCATTTTTGAACTGATTTGTCTGGTCACATAGTTTGTAGCATAACCATAAATAACATTCAGATCTTCTGACAGGAATACCAAATTCCTTTTAGCTCTTTTTCTGTTAAAATGACCATGTCTTAATGCTTCTTAGTGATTCAGACCACAAGACAAGTGAAGGCAATAATAAGAGATTTAGTTATGAGAGCAGTGATTCAAGAAGTCACACTGCTTTCACTGAATATCTTAGAATAGGACCACGTGTCTGTATTGGCCGTATGCCAACTAAATAGACATTTTCTGATACCAGCTATAGGGCTTGCTAACTTCAGTAGTGGGAGTTTTAAACCTAACATCTGGCTTTAAAGTTTTATAAAACATAGTCGTTGTGCTTTGGAATTTCTGTGTAAGATTAGATGAGTTTTGTGGTTTTGATGTAGTAGTAGTAGTAGTAGTGATGTACGTCAGCACAGGGGAACTGAATGCAGTTTTGAGAGCACTTTGAACAAGGGCCAAAGGAAAATACTCTGAAACCAGCAACAGGAACTGCAGTGGGGCTGGTCAGCCAGTGTGTACGTGGGCCCCAGGCAGTTGAAAACAGCTCATGCAGGATCAGTATCAGCACTGGACATAAAAGCAGACGCATGAATGAGTAACCTTAACATATCTACAGCACATTTTTCACTACAGTCTAGAGCCGCTGCCTGTATTAGTATCTTCTGTGGGTTAAGTGGTCACTTCCATCTATACCTGACAAGACATTTTTAACTGTTGAAACTCACAACATTAAAACAGTTTGACAATTTCATATAGGAACAGTTTAGTTGTAGTTTATCTCAAACTGGTGTTTGAAAATGAGTCACTGCTAAGGAAGGAAAAAATTTGTGAACTCTTAAATAAAGTGGCTTAGATATGGACTTACTGCAGATATATTAAGTGTGTGTTATATATTTAAAGCAGAAGATAATAGCAGTGTCTCAGTAAAATAGAACAGCTGCAATTATTTTAATAGGTAACCACTCTACTGGGCTACGAATTGAATGCACATATTAGACTCTGCCTGTGTAGGGTTCATCTATACTTTAAAATACTGTTTCCCTTCTTCCTGTCCTGTTAGATAGCATTGAGTGCTTTGTTAGAATAGTTTTCACTTCCCAGTACGCTGCTTACTCTCTTAAAAGCTTGCAACTCTATCCCAGGAAATGTTCTCCTCCTTGTAAACTATTATGCACTCTTAATTTACATTCTTCTCAGTACTCTTGCATCTTTCACAATGTCCACAGATGCAGACATGCAACAAGATTTGCCCTGTCTTATGTTTCCTCAGATGTTTCAGAAAATAGAACTCTTTTCTGTATTGAGGACACCCACTAATGGTTCTTTTGAACTCCCTGTTTATACTTCTACATATTCTTTCAAAATATAATTCTTTCACTGCAGCCTTCAAGCTAAACGTACCCACTCCTATAGCTAAATATTTGGCTTGTACAGCATTAGCCATAAATTTTCCAATTTTATTTACAAATGTAAGTCATGTGTCAGCAAATAAAAAAAAAATCCTTCAAACTATGAAACTTTATGACATAAACAGCAAGGTAAGAGAGGCCATTTCATTTGCTCAAAATTGTAAATTGCTTGTTCCTTTTTTTTTTTTTTTTAAAAACTATATTAATCTCATCCTCCTCACCTCACTTGGTGACAGGGAGCTCCATGGCCGATTGCATACTTTCAGTAGAAAATAAGAGAATTATGCCAAGCTGAACTGGGAGGTGATGGTATATAATCAACTATATGAGCCTGGCTAGACAATACTGTGGATCAGGAAGAAGATAATGGCAACAGAGATGGCCAGAGCTTTGTTTTTATGATTGGTCCAACATGATTTTAAAAACTACTCTGCCTAGAGTAGAGCTGACAAAAAGAGCTTACCTGACAAGAAATGAAGGATATGAAAATACTCATGCAAATAGCGGGATCAGATAGATATGTGGTGTCAGTCACACTTCAAGATACATCTCTCTCTCCCTCCCTCTCTCTCTGCAGGTCCCAGAAGGAAAAGTTGTGGTTCTTTCTTTTAGATATTTAGACCTGGAAAGTGACAACTTGTGCCGATATGATTTTGTGGATATATACAACGGCCATGCAAACGGACAACGCATCGGCAGGTTCTGTGGTACTGTGAAACCAGGTGCCCTTGTATCCAACAGCAATAAAATGTTGGTCCAGATGACTTCAGATGCTAATACTGCTGGAAGCGGATTTATTGCGAAGTTTTCTGCAGCAGAACCACATGAAAGAGGTAATCAACAATTACATATGTGCTGAAGACAAATACAACTGTACAACTCTACGGAGAGCCACATTAATGCTTAAAAAGATGTGATGCCAGAGATATTAGGGACTGTGCTGTTCAATGTATTCATTAATTATCTTGCTTAGCAAATAGCAAAGTATAACTGTTTCGCTGTTGTAGTTAGTTAAACAAAGTGTTAAAGAGGAAGGCTAACTATTGTACGAGATGCAGAAGAACTGCACCTAGAAGTAATATAGTAATAGCTAGTCAATAAAATGAGAGATGAAATTCAATATAGATAAATGTTGCAAATAAGGGGAAAACACCCTAACTTCATGTACAGTACAACAGGCTCTGAATTGACTATTACCACATAGGAATGAGATCTTAGGTTTAAAATCAATTAGTTATGAAAACAGTAGTTGAGCATCACTCCAGTGCTCAATAGGCATCAAAACAGAAACAGGAACTTAGCAATTTTTTGTAAAAGGGAATAAAGACCAAACAACAACAACAAAAAATTATGCTACTATAAATCCATAATGCATCTACATCTTGAATACTACTTGCCATTCAGGTGTTCTTATCTCAGAACAGGATATAGTAGAACTATCAGAAGCAATCAGGGACAACAAGTATGATGGAGTGTAGGAACATCTTCTACACAAAGACCAGCTGCACAGCATGGACCTCTTTCATGCTGGAAAAGGGAAGGTCAAGGGGAGTGTAGGAGAGGGCTCTAACGTCATGACCAGTACAGAGAAAGTAAACGGGGACTGCAGTCACCATTTCTTCCAGTACAAAAAGCAGATGAGCAAGTGGCTGCAAAGGAAAGGAGAGGGTGATTTTTCTCAGAGGGCTGCTAAGTGGTGGAGTGCTGTGCCAGGGGACATTGTGCATTGCCAATTTCTACACTGGTTTCAAAACAATTAGAAAAACATAAAAAAAAAAATTGTTAGGCATTATTAAACATAGAGGCATTGCCGTGTGCTTGTGAAGACCATGAACTGCGAGAGGCTAGGAGGTTACAGGGAGGTGGCATGACCCTGCTGAGTGGCTCTTTTCCAAGGCTTTTGCTATTAGCATGATACCAGACTAGACAGGTTGTTGGGCAGATGCAGTGCAGGTGATGATGAGCAATTTATTAGTCCTGCCAGTTGTATTCCTGTATTGATAACTTCTTGAAAGATATATTAAATGACTGTGACGTGATAGAGTTAATTTAACAAAGAAGGTTTATAACCATATTATAAATAAAGGTTACACAGCTATTTAGCTTTTGTAGTTTGGGACTAGGAGGAGGACATACGGAGGAAAAAAACCCCTTCTCTGTGGTGGGCTCTCCACAGGCCGCAGTTCCTTTGGGAATGTCCGTCAGCCCTGGCACAGCTCCCCCCTGGCTGTGGGGATGGCTGCTCCAGCGCCTCCGACTCCTCCTCCTCCCACCCTGGTGTCTGCAGGAATGTTTCTCACTGTCGTTTTGGGTTTTTTACCTCCCTCTTCATGTACATCTGGCATTTTCTGCCCTTTATTAAATACATTTTCCCAGAGGAGCCACCAGCTGAGCGGAAGGGCTCAGCCATGTCCTGTGGTGGGGCCGGGGCAGAGGCGGCCGGAACCGGCTGGGACCGGCCGTGTCTCCCTCACCGAGGCCCTGCAGTAAAACATGTGCATTACACGGCTTACCTGCACCCCTTTGCGCTCTGGTCAGCGTGCTGCTCGGTACTTGCAGGGGATCAGTACTGCGGGGGACGACTGGAGAAGCCGTCGGGGTCCTTCCAAACACCCAACTGGCCGGAGCGAGACTACCCCGCGGGAGTCACCTGCTCCTGGCACATCGTCGCCCCAAAGAACCAGGTAAGGTGCTGCCCTCGCCCTGCTGGCGCGGCCCAGCTTCCATTGCTTGCAAGGACAAACGCCTCACGACAGCCTGCTCACGCAACACGCTGCCTGCATTGCACTGAAACAACAAAAATGCTGAAATGTAAAGACGGTACGTGCAAGGAGTGCAGGCACGCCTACGCTCCAGCGATACACGCCTTCCTCTCGTGTATTACCTGGCTCACTCTGGAAATGCCTGTGCTTTCTCAACATTGTATGTCCTCTTCTGTGCATTGATACATTCCCCTAAATTAAACTGTTTAAAGCATCTGTGACTGGTAAGGCTTTTAAAACAGATTTTTAAGATTATTTTGTTAGTTAACAGAACATCATACAAATTAAGTTAGGGCAGGTGATCGTCTCAGGACCAACCATGATGATGACCAATGCTAGGTTTAAGTCTAACAACATTCATAGCATTTTCAGTGTTGCTGCAGTTTGTTACTGAGGTACTCGGGTGGAGCTGACTGAATTTATTGAAAGCAGAAATTATTCTAGTCTGTGTACCATACAGGGAATATATTCAGATGTGTCCTGCACAGGGATTTTCAATGTACGTTTCATAAAGTTTGGTCCATCTCATAACATGCTTGCTTAATTAGCCAGATTATATGCCAGAGCATATGCTACCACTTCATTAAGACCTGACGAGATGTGACGGCAGACTAAGAGGGCTCATTTGCCACTGTTTGCCACACATGGCTAACATGAGTGTGTTCCCTACGTAGGGCTAATGTGAATCGTAGCTCCACATTTTCCGGTGGTTGCTGAGCCATCTGCTCTGTACCTTGGCAGGAAGTCCACAATGATTGAATGTTTTGGTCACCAAGCATGTTTGGTAGGTTTTTTTTCTTAACCACATCCAGCTTTTTAAATTCCCCTACATGTAAAGATGACTTTCTTCTTAATCTTCTGCTCATGACCATAATCCTTCAAACAAAAAAAGCTGCCCCAGATAAATATATTCTTCAGATCTTTCATACTTTTCCATTTACCAAGGTATTTTCTCCCTTGAACTGAAGCAGTATGTCAGCTTAGTGTTTCCTGTACTCCTCTTTAATCCACATTCCTTGCTTGCTAGATACAGGTCATTTAACAATCCTATAGATAGGCAGTGATTTTTAAAACCTTATCTGTAAACAGCAGATTACTTTGGTTCTTTCCAAATATCTTTAGATAAGCCTAAAAACTTTTCCTAAGCTTTTAGAGAAGATTTAAGAAAGGCTATATAAGCATAAAAATAAGGGCACTATATCCTGTGCCTTTTGAAGATCCTGTTACATAAATCCACAAGTTTTTGAATACATACATTTAATGTACTGCAGCAGTGGTTGCTTGCATGCAAATGAGGCAGAATTTTGACAGTCACAAAAGTTGTTTTTGAGGAAGTAGTGAATAAGCATCTCTCTTCAAGTGCACATGAAAAGCTGTTCACTCTTCAGTTTGCCAAAGTTTAGGTGCTGTTGTTTCTACTTCCCTTTCACAAGCATGTGAGCAATAAAACAAGGCACTCTTTTGCTTCCAATACAAGCCAATAATTACTTCATGTATTACAGAAAATGGAGGAGCTTCTCATGATGGTAAAGAGCTTCTATCATGAAATACTTCTTTATTAGTGCAAATGCACTTATGAACAATAGTAAAGTAGATATTACGGCCTGCTGTTTTGCCTGCTATGGAAAAAGTTAGCGTGCCTGCTCCCATCTGAATTACTTCTTTCTATACCATCTTTTTTCATTACAAGCATATTATTCGGATGGCTACTTCCATTTAAAGTGCATTTTTTCCTCATGACGACAAGGTTTTTGAAACAAGCCTATTAATCATCTCTGAAACCAAGTCCCCCTAGGTTACTCATACTTTATGGGGAAAGAAAATGATGCCTTACACAACCGAATAGTGCAAAAGCATATCCAGGCAAAACTAAGACATTAGGTGATAACAGGCTACCATTACTATGAATGTAGAACAAGATCATTTTTACTATGTCAGGAAATCAAATAAAGGGCATGCAATGTACAAATTACTCCTTTTTCTTTTATAGTCTTAAGAGATTTAATGCCATCTTTGTTTGAGACAGACCTTTAAAGAGGAATCCTGCATATCTACAATCAACACAATTCAGTGTTGTCATTCAAGCCTAAACTGTTGCGCTTCATATGAACAACCTAAATACATATATTACCTCTGTTTCAGTTGTGCAGTTATGTTATGTTTTCCTTCCTTGCTACACACAGCTCACAGAATCATACTGCAGGACTTTATTTCAGAGTAGTAAATTCCATTTCTGTTTTCTTGTCCATTGTTTTTCTTTCTTAAGTAGAAAAGTCCATAAATACAAGTCGTATTGGAGATAATAGAATCAGTATTGGAAATGCCAGAATTATTCTAGTTCTCACTTATGACTTGTAAAGCCCCAACATTTATGGAAATCATGTATGGAAACACAATTCCTTTAACTACTTACTATCTTCTGGTTTTAGTCTTACTATTTACTAATTTTCTTTCTTCAGTAATTTTGTTCCTGACCTTTTTATTTCTGCATGAGGTGAACAGCATTGGCCACCACAGTAATTCAGACCCTGCTCTTACTAAGTCAGTGAAGTGGCTCTTAGCAACTTTGCCCTTGCTTTTTCATTAGCATATCTTGGATGATACAGTCACACTAAAAGCCCCTTTTCTGTGGTTTAGATTTGTTACAGTTATTTTAAAAGCAATGTAACACCTAACACCTACTACCCTGTTTTCATTCACTCATAAAAATAACTGTATGAGAAGTTACTTGCATATATTTGAGAACAAAATGTTTTATAGAATGTTAGAGTCATATGTTGAACTATTTGTTAGACAGAAGTCACGTGGATTAAAATACTTTACTCCACAATTAAGTGGATTAAGGACTTTATTGAAAGAAAAAAATCAATTAGTACTTCATATGAAGAGGTCACTTAGTATAAGAAGCACTAATAAATTTTGCTTATCAAAACCTTAATGAGTTATTTACACTTTCCTTGCAGCTAATAGAATTAAAGTTTGAGAAGTTTGATGTGGAGAGAGACAACTACTGCAGATATGACTATGTCGCAGTGTTTAATGGTGGGGAAATCAATGATGCTAAAAGAATTGGGAAGTACTGTGGAGACAGTCCACCAGCGTAAGTAACCTTCTTGCATTATGAACTTCACTACTGCTATGTGTCATGTTGCTAACAGTTCTGTACTAGCTTCTGAAAGATTTTTATTCATTTTTAAAGTAAATATGACATTGTCTACCTCCAACTGAATTTCTAGGAGCTGCTTAGTATCTTGTCTCTCCCTAGGTTTTCCTTTTTCTTTCTCCCTCCATGACTAGCCCTGGCTCCAACCCATGTTCTGTCCTGTCCCTCAAACCTCACTAAAGCACTGTCTAATAGCACCAATACTCGTGCTAAAGCTATTGATATTGGTATAACACTAATATTAATGGTAGCTGAACACTGTCATCACTCCATATATATGTTTCAACTATAGATACTATAGATACAAGGACCCAGCTGAAATCTCTAGCCCTTTAGCTCGTTACTCACTTTATCTGACTCATTTCCCCTCAGCCACTTCTCTTCTGCTGGTTCCCTGGCTGCTCTTTGCATCGCTGCTTACCATCTCTTCCATCTGTGCCAAGGCATGTTCTCTTATGGCACAGACTGCTTTCCTGAGTGTGCTGGGTAGCACAGCAGGCTTTCACCAGGTTTGCTATCAAATTGCTGCCCGCAAGCCCTTTCAAGACCCACAACTCACCCATCCTCAAAAAAACAACCCACCTTCCCAAGCCTCCCACCCCCAAAAACCACCCCCAACCCAGCCAATGGCACTGTAATTATATAACCAGGTCTAGCAATAGTGGACCATAATTATTCCAAAAAAAGTGTAAAGTTTTTTGGATGAGGCTAGTAATTTTTAGCTTTCCTTTCCCATTGTTCTTCTTCCATCAAGCTTCTTAATGCTGAGTAGCTTTAGAACATGTAGAGAATGCATTTTGTTTCAAGAAATACAAGTTATTAAAAGAAAAATAAATGCAGGGAGGTGTGTGACTAGACTTAGGTCTCAGAAGCGGCAGCTAGTTTGATTCCCTAAAGCAAGTAATTGTGGTAAAGGGGGTGGAGGTGCATGCCTCAGTCTTTCTAAGCATAGCTTGCTAGACTGAGATTTACTTTGATTTTTTTGTGTGCTTTTTGTTTGGTTGGCTTTTTTAATGTTGTGTAATATACCTTCAAGAGGCAAGAGAGGAGGCAGACATTCTGTAGAACTCTTTAAAAGAATCTTTTTAAAGATTTTTCTTCTCCATGCAGCAGCTATGCAATAGCATGGCAGTGCTAGAAACAGAGTAAGGTTAGGCCTATGGAAATTTATTAGAAATTTGGAAAGAATCTAATTAAGGGTAGGGCTGCACGTGAAATATATTAACTTCAGTTTCCTTCAGTCACCTTAGGCTTTTGGTCTGGGGTACACTTTTTTTTTTTCTTTTTCAATTTCAAGCTTTCTACATAAAGACATTTCTTTTCAGGCCTCCTTCTTGTAGTAAAGTTAAAAAAGCTGCTCTGTATAAAGATACTGACAACTGAGAGTCTTATGGGTAAGACTGTTCTTTAAGTGCTAGGTAATTCAGGCCACTAAAATGATGCAAGAGGCTAAATTCTAGCAGTAGTTACATACATAATCACTTCCTTGATTTCAGGAAAAACTTCACTAGTGAAAGTAAACTATCTTTCCGTATTGCCTTCAACCCAAAGACTGTGAGGCAGAGTTAGTATTGAGTCCTCAAGGCAAGGAGGTGGGTTAGAAATCTCAGACATCCACTTCCACCCCTTTGCCAAATGACACTCAGAATTTTTCCATTTTTGCCTCATGTATGTATTTATAGCAAAGTGACTTCATACTTTATAGCTTAGAGTTTTACCTGCAAACTAAGATGAATTGTTGCCTTGCAGTGCTGTGGGACTTGAAGTGACTGCAGATGGACTGACTGGGTCTCCAAATGGGCGATATGTTTCTTTGACCTGAATGTTGTCAGCATCTGTATATATTAGATAAAAAGTCACCACCATCTGAAGTAAAAACACTATCCCAAAAGGAATTCTATTGCAAACACTTCTGTGTCTTTAGACAGAATAAAAAAAAACGACCAGCAGATGACAGACGTTAGTTACATTACTTAATACTTTATCACCAGGTAGACAGGTATTCCACTGACGAGCATAGCATGAGAATGTAATTGTGACTTTGCAGATCTATCCCTTACAACTCAACTCTTAATGCAGAACAGTAAGGTATTTACCTTCAAGCTACTGTAAAAAAACCCAAAACCTAACAGAATTTCATATTAGAAACTTAACTACTGATGTTCCGTAAAAATACCTTCAGTTCCTGCCATGGGTGTTTTGTTGTGCACAAGTTGGATCCAAAGGGCTGAAGCAAATGGACTTGCTTCCTAGCTGAACAGAGTTTAAACCAGAAGCACAATCAGAGTCTCATTTGACTCACTCTATATGTAAGTTGTGACGTTTCAGACTTTTTCCAACTGAGGAAGGAACTGAACTCCACAAAATCTTGTCCTTCCCTTGGTTCTCAGAAGGCAGCAGTGAACAACACCCCTTACTGATGAGGCTGGTGGCCTCCAGTCCCTGGGACTTAGCTGCTTCTTTCCAGCTGAAACCTAGCCCAGCTGTACAGTACATTTTGCACTGTCAGGATCTGGTCTTGGCTGACAGGGCAATGCAAAAGGAAGAAGTGCCAGTTAGTCCCTGAGAGGCAACCAGGAGTAGCTTCCTAAACCACCTCTCAGCTGTGGCTCGGCATCTATCCCCACAGCATGTCAAAGCTGTAAACTGGTCTGCCAAAACCCAGTGGGCTCCAAAATACAGACTTTTTAGTATGGACTTTGTGCAACAGGCAAACAAGGGCAGAAGACTGGGCTCAGACCCAGGCCACATAGCTTAGAGATGAGATTTCATGTTACAGAATGTTAGAAGTGTTCTGAAAGCCAATCTGAGGATAGCATGGCTTCCTAACGGGAGATCCAATATAGAGCTTGAACACAGCCACTTTCCCATACAGAGTTGTATATAGGCAGCTTAGATAGCCAGTGAAAGGGGGAAAGTATGGCTCTTGGCGATTTTCCACTAGTACTGCAGAATTCTCAACAAAATTTATCAACTGGGTTCATAAAAACAGTAAGGACAAGAGCACTGTTATAAAAGAACTAGAAATCACGGTGTGTAAACTGAATTATGAAGCAAGCCTTGTATAAAGTGTATTAGTTGTGTCTCTGACACAGTAATTATGCAAGGTGGAACTCATTAACCAGCAGATACAGATAATGTAACACAGTATTCTCTAACGAAACAGTATACGTCAGAAGTATGAGTAAATGAGTAAACCATTTGGTGGTTGCAGAGTTGAATTCAGATCCAACTGTAGGCCAGCAAGCATACAGTGTAACCACATACTTGATTCCTAAATACAATTACTATGATACATAAATGAGTGGTATATATAATCATCACAAGTTATTAGGAGAAGTAATTACTCAAAAAAACCCTGCGTCTCAGACAAAAAGCCTTTTTTAAAGAGACAGGATACACAGACTAGGTCAGATTTTTCAGATTTGGTGTTGCAGTCCTGGTGTTCAGGAAGCAGAACAAAGCTCTCAGGCAGCTGATAATCAGTGCCCTCCTACGTCCACAGCCTGTGTCAATACCGCAGCAAGAAAAGCATAATCTGCAACTACTGTGGCATCTGTAAATCTACAGAATTCCAGATAACCAGGCACTTACTTTTGGCTATGTCAGACTCAGCCATCAGAGTAACCTGAGTTCTGAAACACCTGCCAAAAACCAAGGAAAAGATCACAAGTTATTACTTCAAAGGCCTGATTAAGTGTTTTGAAAAACTCCAGCTCATGAACTATGTCAGACATCCTGGGAAGAAACAACAGTCATTTTAGTAAAACTACATCTTAAAACACTTTCTATTTTCCTCTCTCCTCACGAAGATTCTTTTGCCCCTATATTCTTCTTCTCTACAAAAACTGTGGTTTTGCTTGAACAATTTGTGTTAATTATTAATGAATATTGAGACAAGGTCGGTAGAAAGCTCAAAAGAATGAGAGAAGTGGTTCTTTGGCTAGACTTGCATTCCATACTATTTTCTCTAACAATAGTCTTAAAAATTAAGCCTCATCACACTACATCCGCATCCAGAGGCAGTTAATGTCACAGAAGGTACTACGCAGTTTAAGAACTGAAAACTAATACACTGAACAGTGCTTGTTCATTGACATTTCAAATCCTAAGAAAATAACTCCATTAGATCTTCATGGCCTTTGTAATGAACACCTAATCATTGACAAAAAACCTGAGCCCACAGAAATAATGACTCAAACCGTTTTCTTTTTAGCGTCTTTGTCAAAGAATTACAGAATTCAACATTGAATTCATTTTATGAAGGCCTTCCAAATGTGTAATATGCTTTTGATTAAACAGAAACAAATTACAAACCCCCACACTTACTTACCTCCACTACACACTGAGGATTTCTTTAATATATTTCCCCACTCTGTTAATCTAGCCCCTTCCATTCCATGGAAGCGAAGTCTGCACTGAAGTCACACAGATGATTTTAAAGGTACTCATATTGACATAACCTTCAGGAATCAGAGGTTTACATGATTCATCAGAATGAGTTTCACACTCATAACACCAGTGTCTGACATGCCAGCAAAAAAATATGTATTTCAGTATTAGTCTGGGGGCACATACAGCATTCAGACCACTAATTAAAGTGAAGTGCACTCTTTTTTTGTAAGAATGCTATTAATGCTTGTCTGACATTCAAAACAATGGAAATTTTTTTTTCCCATTTCAGGCCTATTCTGTCTGAGAGAAACGAGTTGCTTATTCAGTTTTTGTCCGATTTAAGCTTAACAGCTGATGGTTTTATTGGCCATTATAAATTTAGACCAAAAAAGTTACCCACAACTACAGTTCCACCTACTACCACAACAGTCCCTGCTACCTCAAGTAAGTTTTACTGGCTTTATTTTATTTCTTAGAAAAATATAGTATTCCAGGTCAAGGTTATGGAAAAATGTAATAGAAAGTATACTGAAATACACAGTTTTATTGTTTATTAGTATTTCAAATGTTGAGGGAATGAATTAAAATTAATATACTTAAGGGAGTTTCTTAATATACTCAAGGGAGAATCTAATTAGCATTATTAAAAGGAAATCCATCCAGGCGAAAGTTCAGTGAAACAGTAACTCACTCCAGCCAAGAGAATTTTCCTGTCTCTTCTCAATTTTTGACAGTTAACTAGCAAATTGCATAGAAGAATGGATGAGCAAAGTTCTTTTGTTTAAGAACTTCGAATTATTTCAGGAAATAGTTTTATTTAAAGGAAGTCTTCCTTCTATACAAGTTAATATGTAAAAATCTGACCATATTTTTCTTCATGTAGTTATTAAGATCAAGCAAAATTGGTATGGAAGCCAACTGAGCCCTCTTTAGATTCTGTCAACATGACACTCTTCTAGAATTATTTTTATTTAAAAAAATTCAGGGATTGGAACCTACAAAGAAATGTGTCACATTAAAAATAAGTTTCCTTTTATATCTAAGACTAGACAGCATATTTGAAAGATCAGAGGAGGATTTCTCTGAAGGTATTGCCAAAACTACCTCATTACTGAGATACTGAAGGGATAAATTCTTATTATAATCTGAATGTGAGAGATTTTAAGATACAGTTATAGCAGAAAACCAAATTATTTATGATGTTTTTGCAACACATAACCTGATTTGTACTTCAAACGCATCAAAAGTCAGGAAAGCAACGGCCCACCAGCAGGTAACCAAGAAGCTGTGGTGCTTAAATACTGATAATGAAAGGTATTTAAAATACATTAAAATAAACATTATAAAAATTAAATCATAATGACCTGTAAGTCATTCTGATGTGACTGCTACTCTAATAATAAATAATTCAGTTCTTCTTCACTATAAAGCACTTCTTATCAAAATTGTTAGTTCAAACACTTGGTCTCAACTAATCCAGGCTGTCAGGTATCTCATGCTGAATTTATCTTCAGGGTTTTGCTATTGAGGTTTGTTCTGTAAGCTGTTTCTGTGTGCACATGCAAAAGAGGTGTACTTTCCAAATTAATTCCAAATCAATTTTTATGACAACATCAGTGTTAGAAAATAAAAACCATGCCAAGTCACGTGAGAGAGGACAACAGAGGGAAGGTGTTTAAAAGGACTTGTTAGGCAGGCAGAAATAAGAAGTCCTTTCAATGGCTGATCAGTTATGCATGGTGTAGGCATTTCTGATCTTAAAAACAAACCAAAGCACACCAAACCTCTACAGTTTAGTTAAATTTCTGATCAATCATTTGCATTCAGAAGTGTTTAGTTCAAATAGACTGATCATATTAACTTGCAAGTCAGACCTGTTCAAAGTCAGACTTGCACAGAACTCCAGGCATTAATAAAATATTTAACTTTAGTAGGGCACTTTCAAGAATTTTCTCAGTCTTACATAAAAACATTAGTACCTGAAGAAATAAATAAATGCTATGTAATACATTAATAAAAGTAATTAAGATTATTCCAGTACATATGTTAAGGAATTGATTTTCTTATTTCATTAGATCAAGTCATGCATTATAAAGGAAGTAAAAAACTGCAAAGATATTCTTCATAACTACTTTAGTTTTCTTTGAAATTAGGGTTATGTAGGGGTTTGGTTTTTTTAATTTGTCCATTTCAGCTCCATGTTTCCAATAATTATGATGTCATTGACCAATTCCAAACAAACTTGAAAAGGACATAAAAGCCTTAAAAATACTGCATCTCAGCACATCATGTAGAAAGGTTTAGCTGAGTAAAGTACAGAGACTATTAACACCCACCTAAGGAGGAAAAAAAACCCCAAAGTGTATTCACTTGTTTATAAACAAAGCATTCTGTTTCAGAAAGGAAATGTCAACCTCTAATCACAGAATCACAGAATCACTAGGTTGGAAAGGACCTTCAAGATCATCAAGTCCAACCATTAATCCAGCGCCACCATGTTCCCTAAACCATGTCCTGAAGATACTTCAAACACTATGTTGTTACAGTACTACGTCATGAAACTATGTGAAAAATTTAGAAAAAAAGTCAGGAATTTTAACTCTGATCTCTTCCATCACAGCACAGTAATTTCAGATAAAAGGCCACCCCCTCCCTCTGATGTATTACCATAATATAACGTTATGATACTTTAAGTGTACTACTAGGGCTGTATGGCAACAGGCAACAACACTAAATAAGTTACATATTTAGGATCACGTTGCAATCAAATGGAAAATTTCTGTAACATCCCATTCTATAAGGTCATTAGAACAGATGAGACATGTGGAAAGATGATGACTGGAGGTAATGGCAGAGAAAAGGAATATTGTTATTGTGGTGTTCATCCCTTGCAATACCAGATCTAGTTATTGTATACATCAGGATTATTCATCCTTCTTCTCTTTTTTTTAAACCTACTGCTTTGCATTTGTATCAAATACCTAATTTCAATTTCAATTTACTTCTTACTCTTCAAAAAGTTGCGAAACCTACAGTTGCGTTGTGCCAGCAAAAGTGTAAGAGGAGTGGGACTCTGGAAAGCAATTATTGTTCAAGCAACTTCGGTAAGGAAGCAAAGTTTGTTTCTTTTCAGTTATACCCTTGGCACTTACAGGAATTTCACCAGATGTACTTCTGAGTTATCATATATAGACTATATTTTTACACCATCTTATATGTATATCTGACATTAGTATCTGTGTTTTACTCAATATATTCTTGGAGATATTCCACAATAGGCACTGCACATACGTCTGAAACAAACATACCTTCTCATTCTGAAAAGCCAATGACAATGCAAGACAACCTCCTACGGGAAAGTATTGATTCGATTACACTATTGTCTCATTTGTGTGTAACCAGCTAATGCACATTTTATGCTGTACCTGCTACTATTCCACAATTCAGTTTAAAGACTTCCAAAATACTTTTAAAATAAATTAGAAGGCACGGAAGCTTAGAAGCACTGCTTTCTGTACACAGACATAAAATCACTCAGGAAAAATGGGGTCTGCTGCATATTTGGATGGCATTGTCACTGCTGATTTGTTCAGTTATGTCCCAGAGTATTTTCCCATATTAATAGGGGAAGCTTTTTTAATCCTCCTATAACATGCCTAAAAATTTGATGGGACAACTTTCCACCCCCACGACCACTTTTTGTTTGTTTGTTTTAATCTAACTGTCTCTAACTTTATAGCTAATTCCATAAGATTTGAGGAAATCTGCTGTTTCAAGAAAGTGGGGGCAACTTTGCATCATTTTGCTAGAAAAACAGTTGAGGGCTGTGGCTGTACTCTAAAGCAGAAGGGAATCACTGCAGCATGACTCCTTACTACACTCTTCACCACCAGCCAGTTGTAATTTGCAACTAGTATAGGCTGGCCCAAGACCATAAGAAGCACGTAGGAAAAAAAAATGGTCTCCTCTTACTGACCACATCTCAGCTCTTGTAGTTGACGGTAAAAGACACTATATAAAACTTGTTATTTTCCCTCTAGCATCAGGGTAATAAATCACATTCAGTCTCACCTTTTGTCAAATACTTGACATTTTTCAATCTTTTCTGTGGCAGGAGTAGAAATATCTTATATGCTCCTGTGAATTCAAGCATATCTTAAGAACAGAAAGTGTGCTGTTTGTAGAATATGATTTATTCTAAGTTCGTTTGCTGACTTTATGAATTTAGAAAATAAAAGCTATTCCTCTTTCTTCATGCATTTAATTTTTGTTGTTTCCAGAAGTATACCTGCAATACCCAGCATTTCCACATCCACAGTTCTCTTTTGATTGAACTTGAACATTCCCATTTAAGCAAAAGCTCTGGATTAAAGGAAAATAATGTGCAAGTTTACAAATGCCTAACCCAAAATGTGGATTATGCAGATTTGTAAAATAAATCTGTCTGCATATACTTGGTAACTGAACATCTCATTGACCCTAGGATAGAAGAGCTTATTTACAAAAAGTGTTTGGAGAAGAAAAAAATTGCTAATAGCATTTACCATTCCCTTTTGATAAATAAAGATGGCCCACAAGTTAATCTAGTTTATATTCATACTGAGAGGTCTTTGGGAGATATGATGGTCTAATCTGTAGTCTAAATTTAGCTGAAATTAGCAAATTCGTATCAGTATCAGGCCTCACACAGATCAAAATCTAGCTCCTAGGGCATCAACTATTCCCTGCTACTCATTTGAGAGTGTCAGAGCTGGGAATTCAGCTTTTGGCTAGAACATTTTCAGTTCAACTTCTCCACTCTTTTAATATTAGTCATTAAAAGAAGTATCAAATTGTACTGTTTAATTGAAATAATCAAAACCTAAAACTGGGCTTGCAAGAGACAGATGCATTCTAGGAACAGTTTTATATTTGGTGCCACCAACATTTGTCAGTAGTGAGTTATCTATTACAGGTGATCTATTATGCAACTTCAGTAACTCTTTCCAGTATTGTTTGTTTCCTTATTATGGACCAATACACTTACTCAGTTTTTATGATGCCTCAAAATTTGTATCTAAAAAATTAAAAAAATATGTCAAATGTCTTTTCTTCCAGTAATAACTGGAACTGTAATCTCAGCAATAACACGGGCTGGCAGTCTGCATGCAACAATATCAATCATTAATGTATATAAGGAGGGAAATTTAGCAATTCAACAAGCTGGCAAGAGTATGAGTGCCAAAATTATTGTTGTATGTAAGCAGTGTCCTCTCATCAGAAGAGGTAAGTACACAAAAATAAGTGCTTTGTGTGTTCATAAAAGACAACAGTTTTGAAAACTGCTATTTGAAATAGGACCACAAAAATCAGTAAAATTATAGTAGTAGTTTCTATAATCAGCAACTAATATTATAATCAATTTATGATAAAAATAACTAGTTATCCAGGTTTGTATTGCATTTTTTAGTTTTACTTATAAAGGATTACAGTGACTTAGATCAAAGGAGTTTGAAAAACTTTTTTTTTTAAACGCACGTGATATAAAGTAAAATTTGATTTGGTTCTCTCAAATGAAGCTCAGTTAGATTTTGTTTTTACGTGTTATGTGCTTTGGAGCTAGTTTTTATACAAAGTTAATTAGAAGGGAAAAACAACAGCATGCTAAACCTAGAAAAGCAGTATGTCACAGCAAATCACAAAAATCAACATGTTTCCCTGTTGCTTCTCTCCTATAAATATGAATATGTATATATTTACATCTTTACTGTAGAAATACTAGTAGTATTAAGCCCCCTTTGTATCTGCAAACAGCCAGTATTTCTATACCTGTCTTAAACAATATTATACTGCGTAAATCAACCACAATAATTTCCAGTTTAAGGTAACAAGGGCTACCTATGTGGTGTTATAAGTAATACTGAGACTACGTTTAATTGAAGTAACTAAGTGAAAAATAAAACACTTTTCAGCTCTGCCTCCTGAGTAAACAAGCAGAATAGGAGAACATAAATGGAACCATACAGGAAACTGTCAAAATAATTTAATAAGCATCAAAAGAACCCCTGATCACATTCAGGATACTATGGGTATTTAAGCATATTAATTCAAAGTGAGCAGTACCAAAGTGGAAAATCCTTGTCAGAAAATAGCTTTTGCTTTTACCTTTAGTTCTCTGGAAACTGGAGATCTATCTGGAAGACATAGTAATATCTGTGGTGGAACAAACTGTCTCCCTTTAGGCAAGACTGCTGGCTCCAAACCACACACTTCTCTTTCTCATCCTAAATCGCCATTAATTATTTAATAGCCATTACTTAATATCTAAACCTTTTTGCTTATACCCCTATAACACTGCTCCTTCTAGCCTAAGGCCTTGCAAACCTCTAACCCTTCTAAACCATAAAAATACTCAAATCCATCTGATTTCTCCAAAGCCGGGGCCTATTGCACATTAAGCCCACCTTGCTTGCCTGACTGCCTCTCTGTATGTCTAGAAGATGTTTATGTCTTTGAGGGAGGAAAAGGGAGTGAAAGGACTTAAGTGCATTATCCCTTAAGAGCATTACCCTACAAGCTGAGCAAATGAGAAAATATCCAAAATGAATGAGACATATTCCACTTCAGGTGTTAGTATTTATAGTTTTTATACTACCTTTCTAATGTCTTTCAGACTCATCTGACAGTCTACATTTAATGAGTATCTCCTATATATTTAATTAAGTAGTACATACTTAGCTATATATCTACTTGATTTATACATAACTCTACTTTATTGCATAACAAGCATGGCAAAGATGGGTGAGGTATTATATATTTTAGGTAGGAAGGAAAAAAATGTTAGAAGGCATTGGTAACGAGAGTGCAAATTAATAGAGACCACAGATAAAAGGACTATACTTACCAAATCACATCCTGGTTTTCTGTCTTGTAATAACATGCTCTCCTTTGTAGGTTTAAACTACATCATCATGGGCCAGGTAGAAGAAGACGGTAGAGGCAAAGTCTTTCCCAACAGCTTTGTCATGAGTTTTAAGACTAAGAACTCAAAGATCCTAAATGCCTTGAAAAACAAAACATGTTAAAACTAAACTCTGCAGCTGCATTCTATCACCTCTCTTGAAAAATAATTTTCACTTAGTGGAAGTCATTAAAATACAACTGACTGTCAACACTAAGACTATGCTCACCCCTTCTTCCCTCCCATCCACGTTAAGCATACCTTGGCACAAAGTGGTATCCATTACACGTACCTATCAAGACGAAAACAGATCCTCCAAAATCTTAAAGCTGACGATTTGCAGCACAGCCATCTGATCTCAAACATACCAAATTCCAATTACTTGGAAGCTGTTAATTTATAACTGTCCAATTTTTTACAGAGTTGTGTATGTAAAATAAGAATTCTAAGTGCAATATTTATAGTAACTCATTTTAACTCAGCTTTTTCTCTAAAGTTGTTTTATTACATGGATTTCTGCATTATTATCTATGCTTAATAAAATATTTTAAGATTAAATCATACACTAACTAGTTATTGATTATGTGTGAAGCGGGGCAGGCTAAACAGAGAAACTCTTTTTTGATCATTTACACGCTTTTGGTGGTTTGGTCTTGCAGAGTATGACTGACCCTACACTTTCTTGCTGATTTTTCTTCCACTGAAGTCAGTGAATCGTTGATCTGAACAGGAACTGGATTTACTCTTCAAAGAATTAGACAACTGTAAAACAGCGCCATGCTTTTCTCTGCTGATGACTACAGTTAGTAAATGTCACTATTAAGTTCCATAAGGTAATTAGTGAGGAGGAAGGCAGGAATTAATTTAGGGGTAGTAAATTACACAGTTTAAACTTTTGGATCTACTGTGAAAGGATGGACAATAGAGCAACGCTCAGTCTGGCACCAGTAGTGTAAATAGTAGCGTATCTGTCTCATTTATTTCATTCCTATATGCAAAAGGCTGAACAAGTAGCTATTTTGAGGACAAGGGAAGGAACAGAATGGAAGCAGTCAGACAATGATACAGAGATCTTTGTATACTGTTGTATAGTTATTTGTTACTCTGAAACTGAAAGCCTGTAAGATGGAGCAATAGAAACTGGTTATAGGTAAAGATTAATACTGAGACGTTGAAGAACATCTTGGTCAAAAGCAGATAGGAAACACATGCTTTTCCAACTGGGTAAAACTTGAACAGTAATAAAAATGACATGGATGGAACAGCATCTAAGATCCCTTTAAATACTTGTTTTCCTCCTATATAAATACCATACCAGAGTTCTTTTGATAATCTGCAACCATGGGCAGGAAACTGTAATGAAATGTAATGAAAAAACACAGTCCCTATTGGAAGTACTCATTGCTTATTTCAGTGGCAGAACGGGGATTACCATTCCTCTTCAATGATTGATTCCCGTACATAATGCCAAGAGGTACTGTCACGGTGCGACTCAGTAGCTCAGCAGCATCTGTTCCGAAGACTTAACAGGTAGTGAGGCAGGAGACAAAAGAATCAGAGGGAGGCACAAAGGTACAAAAGGGCTGTGCTGGCATCTCAGATCAAACAGCTCAAAGCTGTAACCATACCGTACAGATTGCTAGGCCTCTGCCTTACTGACTAAACCTACAGCATTTCTCTATGGAAATGACAGCAACATTTGTTTGCAAAGTAGATGTAATTTTGTAATTTTTAAACTGTAGTTTTAATTTTCCAGTTTGATTGATTCCTATGCAGAATAAAGGGTTTTATGCACGGTGCTCTCCGCATTTCACAGCGGCAGCCTGGGGAGAAGCAATGCGGAAATCATGCTCGGAACTGTCTTGAACTAAAATAATCCATTTTTATTTATGATATGACCATCTGTCATGCAACTTCTTCAGCGATGCAAGAAGAGTCTGGCAGCCTGCTCCTTCTC